AAATCAAAATCAGAATTCTCAAGGTTACCGTCCTTCATTCTATCCTCACAATGTGAATCAATAGTCTCATCCTCAAGCATCAAATCTCAATACTCTCATCCTCAAGCATTAAATTCTCAATCTTACTATAATCCAAATCAAGCGCCTCCTAAGAGTCCCGCTTTGGAGGACAATGTCTTGCAAGCCTTAGGTGATCTTCGAAAAGATAATCAATTATTTCATTCTCACTCTCAATCAATTGTAAAGCTTGAAGCTCAAATCGAGCAATTAGCTAATTCTTTAAATGTGAGAGAGAAAGGTAAGTTGCCTAGTTAAACTTAAACCAATCCTAAGGGGTAATTTATGGAGCAAGCAAGTCCTCATCGGAATTTTCTGGAAATGAGCAAGTTGAAGCAATTACTACCTTGAGGAGTGGTAGGAAAGTGGATAATAAGGTAGAGATACCTCAGGAGGATAGTGAATTGCCACAACCTAGTGGTTGCATCCATCCCATTCAAAATCATATTCTTACTCCCTCGGATGTTAGTGGTTCCAAAAAGGACATTCCATCATCTTCATCATCATCTCCCCAATTAGAGAAGCCTTATGAGCCAAAAGCTCCAATTCCTCAAGCTTTGAGAGAGACTTCATTAGTTGGGAGACAAGAAGGAAAAATTCATGACATGATGGAAGTGTTTAAACAAATGAAAATTAATCTTCCTCTTCTAGATGCGATTAGGCAAATTCCACCATATGCAAAGTTTTTGAAGGACTTATGCATACAAAAGAGGAAGAGCAAGGGAAGGGACCTTAAGAAAGTACTTTTAAAGAAACAAGTGAGTTCCATCATTCTGTCTAACACTCCTCCTAAGTTCAAGGATCCAGGTGCATTAACCATTTCTTGTGTTATTGGAAACCAAGAGGTTCGTAGAGCTCTCTTTGATTTAGGTGCAAGTATCAATCTCATTCCATACTCTGTTTACTTGCAATTAGGATTAGGGGACTTGAAGCCAACATTGGTAGTAATCCAACTAGCCGATAGATCAATTAAGAAACCGAGGGGAATTGTTGAGGACATCCTGATTAAGGTTGATAAATTTTATTTTCCGGTTGATTTTGTGGTACATGATATTAAACCAGTCCCTAATCTTACCAATCATATTCCAGTCATCCTAGGAAGACCATTCCTTGCCACCACCAATGCCACCATTAATTGCAGATCCAGCATTATAGACATCTCATTTGGCAACATGATGGTTAAGCTTAATGTACTTAATGCAAGTCAACATCCCACAGATGAAGATGAGTGTTTCCTAGTGGATGTCTTAGATGAAATCATAGAGGAGACTCTTCCCTCTACTCTCTCTAAGGACCCTCTTGAGGCATGCCTTTGTGAAATGTTTGAAAGTTATGATTTTGACACAGAAGGATCCATAGGTGAGGTGAATGCTTTGATGAACTTTGTGGCGACTTTGGATTTCCCACCTTGGAAATGCAAGAAAGAACCTCTTCCTTCACTCTCTAGTACTCCACCGGTTCCTTCTCTCATCTCTCCTCCTACTCTTGAGCTTAAGCCTCTTCCATCCAATCTCATATACGCCTTCTTAGGCCCAAAAGAGACTCTTCTGGTCACCATTGCTTCAAATCTTGAAAATGACCAAGAGAATGATCTTTTGGAAGTGCTTAAAGTTAACGAAGAAGCTATTGGATGGAGTGTGGCTGACCTAAAAGGCATTGACCCTTCTATTTGTATGCATCGCATACACATGGAAGAGGATGAAAGGCCATTTAGGGATGCTTAAAGGAGATTGAACCCAAATATGAAGGAAGTTGTCATGAAGGAGGTTGTGAAACTTTTAGATTCGGGAATCATTTATCCTATCTCTGATTCCAAGTGGGTTAGTCCAACTCAAGTGGTTCCCAAAAAGTCAAGAATCACAGTTGTTAAAAATGCTAAGGGTAATCTTATTCGAAACGCACTGCTACTTCATAATGTGTTTGCACAGATTACCGAAAGCTGAATTCTGCCACTAGGAAAGACCATTTTCCATTGCCTTTCATTGACCAAATCTTGAAAAGATTGGCCAGACAATAATACTATTGCTTCCTAGATGGTTACTCGGGGTACAATCAAGTGGCCATCGATCCATTGGATCAAGAAAAAACCACTTTCACATATCCCTTCGGTACATTTGCTTATCAATGGATGCCTTTTGGATTGTGCAATGCTCCTGCCACTTTCCAAAGGTGTATGATATCAATTTTTTAGGACATGGTGGAGAAGTATTTAGAAGTCTTCATGGATGACTTCTCGGTTTTTGGGTCTTTATTTGATTCGTGTCTCCAAAATCTCGAAAAAGTGCTTCAAAGATGTCGTAAGACTAATCTTGTGTTAAGTTGGGAAAAGAGCTATTTCATGGTTTAAGAAGAAATCATGCTTGGACATGTCACTTCTAAAAGAGGGATAGAAGTAGATAGAGCGAAAGTTGAGCTGATTTCTGAATTGTCTCCACCTACTATGGTGAGAGAAATCCGCTCCTTTCTATGACATGCTGGTTTTTATCGTCGGTTCATCAAAGACTTTAGCAAAATTGCTAGACCCTTATGCAACCTTCTTGCCAAGGAGACTCCATTTGTCTTTGATGAAGCATGCCAAAATGTTTTTCATCAACTTCACACTCTTCTATCAACCGCTCCCATCATACAACCTCCAAATTGGTCCTTACCATTTAAAATTATGTGTGACGCTTCCGACTTCGCAATGGGTGTTGTTTTGGGGCAAAGGGTAGGTAAACTACTATGTGCTATATACTATGCGAGTAAGACTTTCTCAGGTGCCCAATTGAACTATTTTACCACTGAGAAAGAATTACTTGCTGTAGTATATGCCCTTGATAAATTTCGGTCATATCTTTTAGGATCCAAGGTAATTGTGTTTTCCGATCATGCTGCTCTTAGGAATCTTTTAATGAAAAAAGAAACCAAACCTCACTTGATAAGATGGATCCTACTTCTTCAAGAATTTGACGTTGAAAATCAAGGACAAAAAGGGCTCTGACAATGTCGTTACCGATCATCTGTCTAGATTAATGGTTGAATCTTCTCCAAATCTTGAAATTCATGAATCATTTCCGGATGAACAACTCTTTCAAATCTCAAATGGGACGTTGCATTGGTTCGCCGACATTGTTAACTATCTTGCAACCGGCAAACTTCCCATTACTTAGTCAAAACAAGAAAATGACCGATTCTTTGCTAACATCCGGAAATACTATTGGGAAGATCCCATTCTGTTTCGTTATTGCCCGGATCAAATCATAAGGAGATGTGTGCCGGAAAGTGAAGTTCCGAGCGTCCTTGTGTTTTGTCACATAATTGCTTGTGGTGGGCATTTTAGTGGAAAAAAGACCGCTTTGAAGGTTCTTCAAAGTGGGCTCTTCTGCCCACTATCCACCAAGATGTCTATAACTTTTGCAAGGTGTGTGTTCGGTGCCAAAAGTTGGGATCAATGTGAAAGAGAGACATGATGCCCTTAACTTCAGTTTTCGTAGTTGAAATCTTCGATGTATGGGGTATAGATTTTATGGGACCATTCCCAATGTCTTATGACTTTCAATACATTCTCGTAGCCATTGATTATGTGTCAAAGTGGGTTGAGGCTTGTGCTACCAAAACGAATGACCACTCCGTGGTAATTGCATTTTTGCTCGTTTTGGTATGCCAAAGGCCATGATAAGTGATGGAGGAAAACATTTCTGTAATCAATTCTTGAAGAAACTCTTTTTGAAATACTCTGTCACACATAAAGTGGCCACTCCCTACCATCCCAAACAAGTGGGCAAGTCAAGGTATCAAATAGGGAAATCAAGCATATTCTTGAGAAAACTGTTAATCCGACCCGAAAAGATTGGTCAAGAAAATTGAATGATGCTTTGTGGGCTTATCGGACTGCTTACAAGACTCCAATAGGCATGTCTCCATATAGACTTGTTTATGGGAAGCCTTATCATCTTCTGGTTGAGCTAGAACACAAAGCACTTTGGGCGATAAAAAAACTCAATTTTGATCTTGATAAGGCTGGAAAGGACCGTTTACTCCAAATCAATGAGCTCGAGGAATTGCGAAATGATGCCTATGATAGTTCAAAAATCTACAAGGAAAGGACAAAAGCATTTCATGATAAATATATTGTGAAAAAGTCCTTTAAGGCTGGTTAAAAGGCTTGGTTATTCAACTCTAGACTCAAATTTTTCCTTGGAAAGCTTTGAACCAAATGGGAAGGCCCTTATCTAATCATCTCCGTCTCACCTCTTGGGGTGGTTGAACTTCAAAATCTAAAGGATGAAGGGGCCTTCAAAGTTAATGGTCAAAAGCTTAAACCATATATTGATGGACAAGCTCTTCAAAGAAATGTGGAATCTGCTCTCTTGATGAATTCCATTTACTTTGAAAATTGAGAGAATTTCATGCCTTTCTAACGACGTTAAACACTAGTTGTTCTGAGTTCCTTCTTCGTTGCATGTTAATTTACATTTTATTACTTTATTTTATTTTATTTTATTTATTTATATTTATTATTTATGTTTTTCTTTCTTTTTCCTTTTGTACATTACGCTTTTCATAATTTCAAAAAAAATAAAATAAAATAAAAAACTAAAAATATATAAGAATAAAAAAAAAAAAATTCTTGTGATGAGTAGTGTAGGTTAGTATTTGATTTGATTTTAATTTTTAGTATTATTGTTTTTGTTTTTATTTTTATATATATTTCATTTTAGTATATATATTTTTCTTTTTAGTATTGCTTAAATTTTTTTTTAAAAAATAGTACTAGTTAGTAAAGTTGATAAGTGATTTTATTTCAATTTTATTTATTATTATTATTATTATTTTTATTTTTATTTTTATCTATTTTTTATTTTAATGTATATATTTTTTTTAGTTTTGTTTTTTTTTTTTTCTAAATAATAAAATAAAAAAAGCAAAGGATCGATCCCCACAATGGGAGATCAATCCCATGTTTCTGGCAGAGAGAAAAAAAAAAAGCCCAAGTGGAATGATCCCATTTTACCTGTGTTTCTACTTTCTCATTCACAGTGAAGGAAAAAAAATTTGCCTAAAAATATCAATCCCAAGGTGATCGAGCGACCCAGCCTTCGCATATCTCACTGCCCAACCCTCATCACCCTAGCTACCTCACTCTTCCCTCATCAACCCTCACCTCTCATATCTCAACACCGAGCACCACACTACCATCACCAGCTCCGGCCGAATCAAACCCACCCCAACCTCAGGCCGCCGTCTCTGAAATTTCAAGCGCAACTTACAATCACCGGGTTCTTTATTTCCGGCTAGCTCTTGGCCAAAAGGCCGAGCTATTCTTTCTCAGTCTCGGGTCTCTCTCATTTGTGTCTTTCAACGGCGTCGCGGCTGGGTCGCTGTTCTCCGGCGATTTCGGCTTGGTTTCTCCGGCGATTTTGGTTGGGTTTTTCTCCGGCCACGATTTGAGACTCGGCCTTCGCTTCGCTTAAATTGTAAAACGCTGAAATTTCCGATGATTTTGACTGATTCTTCGCTTCGCTTTGGGTTCTTCGACATTAAACGCTGAAATTTTCGACGATTTGGGTCCTTCGCTTCGCTTCTCCAGTGATTTCGGCTGGGTCGTTCTCCAGCGATTCCGGCTGGCTTCTTTCCGACGAGTTTCTGAATCGCCGTTTCCTTCCGGCGAGTTTGTGATTCGTCATGTTCTCCAGCGATTTCGGCTGGGTCTCGCCGGCGATTTCGGCTGGTTTTTCTCCAACGATTCCGGCTGGGTTCTTTTCTGGCGAGCTCGTGATTCACCGTCTCCGGCGCTTTTGACTGGGCTTTTCTCCGGCAAATTTATGGGTAAGTGCTGATTTTATGGTGGCTGTTGGCAAGTCTGCATTGTAGGTTGAGGTGTTAATTGGGTCCTCTTTTGCTTGTGAATTGAGCTGTTGATTGGGTTCCCTTTGCAAAATTGCATTAATGATTTTTTAAATAAAAAAAAAAAAACAATTGAATTGTTGTTAAAAAAAATAAAAATAAAAAATTGCATTCATGGTTTTGAAAAAACAAAAATAGTTGAATTGTTGTTACAAAAAAAAAAAAAAATTTAAATAAATAAATAAAAATTTGCATTGATAATTTAAAAAAAAATAAAATTGAATTGCTGATTTTAAAAAAAATTCATCACAGTGGCCGAATTGGGTGTTGGGTTGTGGTCATTGTTGGACTTGGATTGTGCATGGGTAAGTGCTTGATTTGGTTAATTGTTTAGAGTTGAATCAGTGATTGGGGAAGTTTGGTTGTTGAATTTTGCGGATTAATTGATTCGGATTTTGGTTTGTCATTGCAGTATAGTTGTTGCACTTGGTTGAATCTGTCGTTCATTACAAAATGGGTGTTGCCAGTTTAAAATTTTTTTACTACAAAGCTTGAACTAATTCCCATTTATTTCACTCTTTAAAAAAAATGACTCGTGTTTCTTCTTCCGAACGTTTCAAACCCTCCAAAGAGACTTCCAAAGCCACGTGGCATACCAAACGTCTGGATTTTGAGACTACCTTCGACATTGAAGCTACGTTTCGCCACAAGGACATGACTGAATGGGCGGTGTTAGAATTTGAAAGAAGGCGTTTGTCCTGCCTTTTTAGACCAGCTGCAGAGGTTACATATCCCTGTATTGGGCGCCTGTTTTATCAGAATATGGAATGGTTTAGCGATGCGCTGGAAATATTAGCTACAACCATTGATGGTGTCCGAATTCACTTTGGTGTCTTAGACATAGCCCAAGCATTGGGGTGACCACATTTGTGCCCCACTGACTTACTAGTAGAGAATGGGGAGCTACGTTTTGGCAAGTTCCCAAAAAAAACCTACCGTGCATTCTATTGTTAAGGATATGTGTGCTGGGAAGTATGGTGACAAGAAGAAGAAGAATTGTGCCAGCAAGTCCTCACTACCTAAGGCTATGTGGTTTTTCGATCAAATTTTGAAACGGAATGTTCATCCAATAGGTCATAAGGTACAACGAGGGCAAGAGTTCTTAATAGCATTGTATGCTACCCACACTGGAGCATGGTTTTCTGTTCCAGCTCTCATTTTTAACCAGATGCATAAATATTGGAAGCATTTAGTGGCGAGTGGGGATCCGAATGTGAAAAAATGGAAACTCCCGTTTCCGTATCTTATTACCCAACTGCTTGTCCTTTGGCGCTTCGTGGTTGATAATGATGAAATCTCTGAGGCTCCACGGGTGACTTTTGGGCTAGCACAGTGGAACTTAAGCCTTTCTCATATGCCTAGTGCCAAGAAGGAAAGTGATGGCATGGCAGCAGATGATAGAGAAGATGTGAATGCCATGGCTGAGGACGTTGTTGGGAGGTCCGAGGAGCAGATTGCTGATGGTCCTAGTTATGAGCTAGCATAGGTTATGTCATCACATGCGGAGGAGTATGCGGGGGTGACTCGGACAGAGTTCAATGCCATTGTAAGGCAGTTGAGGACCGAGTTGGCTGACTCTCAGGAGCAGCGTCGAGTTGAGCATGATGAGCTTATACAACAGCATACCACTACCCAGCGCATGCTACGGGATCTTCTTGAGATTGTTTCATCGAGTATCCCACGCTCTTCCACATTGCCGCCTGAGGCATGATTTCTTTTGTTTATTTTAGGCTGTTCCGATTTTTCTATTTTGGGTGGATGGGATTTTATATAGCTATAGCCAAATTTTTATGATTTAGAGCTGGTTATTTTGTGAATCTGTAATTCTGAGTTTCGTGATATATTTTGGTTATATTCATCCATATATGTCTTGTACTGATGCTTTTGCTATAAATTTATACATGGATGATTATTTTTAGCTTCTGTTGCTCATATTCATGTGTTTTATGAATGCTTTCTACACTTATGGGTGTTTACATTTTTTTTTTTTTATTTTCTTTATTTATTTTCAATCAATAAAAATAAAAAAATTTCCAGTAACATTCCGTCTTACTAGAGATGTTAAATTTAGTCCATTTTTTATTTTGTAGGTTGTATATACATATTCATTTTTTTTAACAAAAAAAAAAAAAATGCATACCACAAAAATTCAAAAATCTGTGTCACTGATAGGACCTTATACTTGGTTATGAATGTTTTCATATTTTATTAAGGGTTTCATCTCATATCTTTTTGCATCGTGTTATTTATTGTTTTAAACTATTTACATTGCTTATCCCATGTGATATTTGATGTGAGTTCGCTTGTATGGTTGTACAACTAGGTTTTTGCATCCAAGTTTGGGGGAGACATCTTTCCTACTAGATCATTGTCGGACTTCATAGTCTTTGCTATCACGGTATACTTTTTCTATTATTTTTCATTATTCTCGTTGCACATTGAGGACAATGTACAGTTTAGGTTTGGGGGTAAAGTCATCATGATTCATTCTATTTTAAGTTGAGCTTTAAATGTATGATGAGATTGAGATGTGTTTGGCAATGATTTCAAACTTTGAAGCATAGTCTATTTGGAAAACAAGTTGTTAGAGTCTAATACTTCCTGTATGCTCTAGGATGTCATTTAAGGGTAAATTTCAAATTTTGACATCATGTTTGCTTTTGTGGTATACATCATTTAGTTGGTTGAAAATGTTTTGAGAGTTGATTCTAGAATTCTACACTTACACTTATGCACACTAGCATTCAATTTGTGGGGTACATGCTTAGTTAATTAATGTTTTGGTTATATCCCAATTGAGTTAGTTCACTTTGAAAACTTTCATTCTTGACAAATGACCTTGCATGCTAAATAACAAACCCTTTACGAAGTAATCGGGATTCGTACCTCATTAAGTACTGAACTCTCGCATGAAAAGTGAGGGCCCTCACAAAAAGAAAAAAGGAAAAGATAAAAGAGAGAAAGAAAAGAAAAAAAAAAAAGAAAAAACAAAAAGAGAAAGAAGCAAAAGAAAAAAAAAAAAAAGTAAGTGCTTCTCACCAATGTGGGAAAGCTAGAAATGATAGGATGAAAGTTATTTTGATTTGTAACCTAGTTGATTTGAGTTTGTAAGTCCTTAGGGGTGTCTTTATACCTAATGCCCTAAAGTCTTCTGGTTTAGGAGTCATTGACCTAACACTTGTTAATGGATCTTCTAGAAAGCTTAAGAGATCATTACATTACACTATACTCTTGATGATTGATACTATATTTGTGTGCTAGTTTGAGGGTAAGGCTATGGTCATTTCATTGATTTGTTAAGATAACAACATATTTTGATGTCGGTTCACTTAAAAAGGATGATAGAATTGATTCAATTTGCATGATTGACTTGCTTGATGTGTGAAGGACCATTCTTGCTTATATGATGTTGAAACGTTGAGAATAGCTTAGAAATGACAGAAATTTGCATACTTGAAGTAGTCTACTTTCAACACTTGTTTGATATGTGTCGTTACTTCTCAAGTAAGAAAGAACTGTTGATATTTGTGAGTACCATTTCTGGAAATCCTCATGAGACTTCACTCGTCCACTAGAGGTAACCTAGGGGTCTAAAGGGCTTGTTGCATATGCTAAATGCAATCGTGATCCCTACGAAAGTGGTTTTATTTTCTTTATTAGTTCATAGTTGTATATATGTTTGTTTCATTTTCATATTGTAGTTCATTGCTAGGGACTAGCAATATATAAGTTTAGGGGCGTGATAAGTGCTTAAATGTTGCACATTTCAGCACCTAAAGTAGGGTCTTTTAGTCCTTACATTTATCTTATTTTCATGTTTTAGTTCTAATTTATGTTTTTGTCAATTTCAGGTCAATAAGGTTCAAACGGACTAATTTTGGTTCACTAAAGCCTTTTTGGAGTCAAGCAAAGACATTCAGAAAAAGTTTAGAAAATGGCAAAAAGAGGTCGCAGCCCATTGCTCATATAGTGTGCTTATTCTTTAAAAGCGGTTAATTCTGCCTTTCTCGGGCCTTTGATGATATTCCCAAAGATGAAGAAGCAAACCAATTATCCCAGGGCCAAAATGGAGCTAAATAAAGTGTAAAAGGAAATTCCAACTTTGGGGGATTAATCCCCCAGAGTGGGATCGATCCCCCATTATTCACAGAACTAAAAATGCCCCTGGGGGATCGATTCCCAAGGCTGGGGGATCCATCCCCCAGCACTATCCCCCAGCACTTGGCAGTATTGCGGGATTGATGTTTACTTGGCTACGAGATTTTATTGTTTTGGGCTTATTTTGTAACTTATTAGTCTCCAATAAGGCTTATTTAAGGAGACAACACCCATTAGTTTTGGGGGGTGAATATTATTATTTTGATTATTAAGATTTATTTTTTTATATCGGGAGATATCGATATTCTCTCTCTGAAAAACGCAAAAAAGGAGATACCAAGAACAGGCTAGGGTTTGGAAGAAAAAGCTCAGAGATGATGAATCCAAGGATGGAGATTGTTCTGCCTTCAACTCCATCAACCATGAGTGGTTGATTCTTATACTTAGGGTTGGATAAACCCTAAGCATATAACCTATTATCTCTCTTTTCATACTTTTTGGGGATTTATTTATGTAATTGATGTATAGGCTTGAATAATATGATTTAATTCTTTCAATTGTTTATTCGTATTAATCTCATGTTGTCTTATGTATTATTAATGAATAAACAAGCTTTACACTTTAATTCCTTGTAATTCGATTCTTGTGATGTCTATGCATGTGGCTAATTAGTTGTATTTGTATTCTAATTTGATGGATATTTTTTCTACTTGATGGATTGTATTACACAGTTAATTTAATTAGGTTAAATTCTTGTTTAATTTAGTTAATTTCAAGCTTAAATAATTTAATTGCACTTGCATTCCTAGGTAAGTAGACAATCCATGCATGTGTTTGAAATCCATGCTTATTGTCACAAATACATTATCCTCTAGATTAATGTAGGCTAGAATTGTAACTTGAATTGATGGACCATTCTTTGGATTGGTGAATTACACTACACTTAGTTTATCTGTCATTAGGTAGGCAATTCAAGCTTGAAATTGATGCTTCATACTTTTCTTTGCAAATATTAGCTACATTAGAATTACTTTTAATTGTTTTCCCAATTAGTTGAAAGTGCATGAGTTAGGGAATATGATTAGTGGTGAATCTTACACCCTAAATCTCTTTCCTAATTTTTAAAATCTATTATTTTATTGCAATCATTTAGATTAAAATTAGTTCTAATCACAAAACAAAAACTCTTTTTAGCAATCACATAGGTACTAAAGTAGAATTCAATTCCAAAAATCAATATTGTTTAGATCTCTTAGGACAATCCCTGCTCGCTTCATACTCCATAGTATAAGTGTTTAGAGGTTTTATAAATTTTAAAATATGGTGTTCACATGACATTATTTCAAAACCTTAAGTGTTGTGCATTATTTTGTACACACGCTCAGTCACATCATTAATCTCATCTAAGACATTTAAGGAGTTAATCAGAATTAAATCAACTAACATCTTTTGCACCGCATAACTCATATTTGGTATCCAGAGTGAGTTACTCGACATATTGAGTAGATCACACTTGTTGATTTGTTATGATTTTTGCATCATGTCTGATAATTCATCTTCTATTGATATATTACCTTTACCTCCTGTTTTTTTATTATGTTACAAGCATGCATATTGAGTAGTCAAAGTTTAAAAGGGATTTTGAAAATTTGTTGGAAAAATTGAAACTTGCAGAACTTGATTGAGATATTTATAAGTTTGAAATTTCTATCTCTAATAAAAAATTGGAAGAACTTGACTATAAAAATTTGAGTCTTCTTCATAAAGTTGATTTTCTAGAAAAGGAACTTGAAAAGGTAAATATGTTTAATAAATCACTTTAACTTAAAATTGATAATTTAAGTAGTGAGTTTGTTAAATCAAAAAAAAAAAAAAAATTTAGAAATTTGACACTGACACTTGCAAAATTGATAAGTTGAAAGTAGTGGTTGAGAATATTAGTAGTAAAGAATTAGCTTCAACTTTAATGGATTTATATTTTCAAAAATCTAAAGAAGTTTTTGTGAATGTTGAAACCAAACCTTCTGTTATTACTATTTCTCCTAGATTTATTTCAAAATGTCATTTTTGTGAAAAAATGTCATATCAAGTATAAGTGTTAGAAAAGAAAAATTGAACTTGGGATAAAATTGAAAAATCTAGAGAGTTCAAATAAGAAGAAGAGAATAATTAGGTCTTCTGAGCCTTGTGACACTTTGCCGAGGACAATAGGAAAATCATTGCATATTGAATCTAAAATTGTTTGGATAAAGAAATAGAATTTTAAATATCTTACTATGCATACTGCATTTAAAGCACTAGGTCCATGTGGTTGTTACTTTGATAGTGGTTGCTCTAGGCATATAACAGTGGATATAACACTGCTTATCACTTTTAAGGAATGCTCAATTGGAACTGTTACTTACTTTTGGTGATGGTAATGCTTCTAGTGTAAGTGGTAAAGCTAAGATCAAATTTTAAGGAATTGGGGAGTTAAAAATTGTTCTATATGTTAAAGGTTTAGTTGCTAATTTGTTGATTATTTGTCAAATATGTGATGAAGAGTTTCAAGTCAATTTTACTCAACAAATGTGTTTTGTAACTAATGAAAAAGGTAAATGTGTTTTGAAAAGAACTAGAACTTCTGATAATTGCTATGCTGTGTATTCAGATCCTTCACTTATATGTTTCTCTGCAATGCAATCTCAAGCTTAGTGGAAGAAAGGAGCAAAGTGGAAGCAAAGTGGTGGAAAAACAGCAATCTTCGATCGATCAAACCAAGCTCAGATCGATCTCACAGTGATCTTTCCAACCATGCCAAGATGGATCGAGCCTCTCGTCCTTATCCTCAGGAA